AGGTCCACAATCTTCCCATCTGCCAAGACCTATCAGATAGAGCAGTGATGCATAACCTACAGCCTGTATGTGGTCCCCTTCAAACCAGATAAAGATGGCCTCCAAAAAGTAGTGCTAATAATAATTTTAAAAAATGAAAGTGTATAATGGAGCTCTAATCTACCTCTAATGATGAATCTTTTGGTCTCTTTGCAGATTGTTCCTGATCCAATAACACAATGACTGTTATAACATATTACAAGGAAGTGTAACAAGGAAATAATGTTTTGCTTGCCATGAACATCTCATATTTTAGTCTGCATATACTGATGATGCTTATGGGAAAGAGTCTGGGAAGAGTTTGAAAATGATCTGAGTGTCAGTCCCTTCAGTGCTTACTTAAAACTGTAAAAGAAACAGAGATCAGTAAAATGATACACCCATTTCTCATTATATCCGAAAGCATTACCTGTTACCCAATATTCATTCAAAAACAAGCACTCTTTGAACCAGGATCTGCCCATCTTCACATCATGAAAAGATAACTTGAGACACTTGAGATTTGAGTTCATCTGGTCCCATAGCATTGTCTGCTCAAAATGATTCCTATGTTTTGGTAAAAATCTCAGCTACTTGTATCACATCTCAGGAAGGACAGGAGGAAGGTTTGCCTTCTCTACAGCTGTAATTAGTCTGACTAGCAAGCTCATCCATCTTAGAATCCTCCATTTGTTTTTCACATAGCCCCACGAGTTTCTCTAACTGCTGTATATGCCTACTTCTCATGTCTTCTTGTTTCTGCACATGACTTTCCCCACTTAGAACTAGCAGGCAGGCATCATACAAGTGAATGTAAAAAATCTGACAACCTCACTTATGCTGACCATCCCATAAAAGACAGAATATGCCACTACCATACATGTATAGGAATATAACATACACCTATGATAGGCTTACAGTTTACAAGACTGTGGAGCAATATTATATTCTACTCCTCAGATAGAATTACAAATTTTATTGGTAAAAAAGCTGAATTAAACACCAAAATTTAACATCTTTTTGGGACACCTGGTATTACCCACACGTCCTTGCATGCCTCAAGTTTTAAAAGTTGGGTGTTCCATGCACCAGTTTAACCATATATCCCTGTGCAATCCAGAAAACAACAGAGATGTAGTTGAATGAGGGGAACAAAGAATTGTAACTGACCACTTCTAGACCAAGGACATTGCCATGAAGCGTGCCATAGCGGACAGTACGGGGGCCTCCCATGTCGGCTGCAAGAACTCCTCCGATCAAAGCTTCCCTCAGGTGATAATCCATGGGGAAATACAGACCTCTCCGGCTGCAGGCATAATCCAGCTCCTGCAGGGAGCAGCCAGCCTCGCACATCACCACTCCTATCATCATGATGCTTCATATTATTCTTCAACAGAATATTCAAACCAAAAATGAAAAACTTTCTCACATGATTATCTATGTATAGCACAAAGACTAAAAAAATTGAGCTTAGCTCTCTTAGTGCCACAGGCGAATATTTTTGCCATGCCATGGCTGCATGAAAATTGCCATGGGCCAATATTTTGGCTGGAAAATTGTTATTGATGCTGGTTCCTGGTAGGGCTGACAGAGGGGAAATAGGGACACATTTAATAAAATGCTATGATTTCAGTGAAAAGACACATGACATTTTCAAACATTCCTCACTGGAAAGCATGGCACTAAGTAAACCAAAAATGAAAAACTTTCTCACATGATTATCTATGTATAGCACAAAGACTAAAAAAATTGAGCTTAGCTCTCTTAGTGCCACAGGCGAATATTTTTGCCATGCCATGGCTGCAGAAAATTGTTATTGATGCTGGTTCCTGGTAGGGCTGACAGAGGGGAAATAGGGACACATTTAATAAAATGCTATGATTTCAGTGAAAAGACACATGACATTTTCAAACATTCCTCACTGGAAAGCATGGCACTAAGCAGGGTAAAACTTGGAAAATAACCAATAAACTTTTGAAAAATTTGTTGAAGTGGAAACTCTTGTAAACTCGAGAATGTAAAAAAAAAAAAAAAAAAAGGAAAGCCATTTTGCAGATCACATGGGACAATATTTCTTTCAATTAATATGCACAAATAAAAAGGAGATGCCTGTTAGGCTCAGGTTATACACCTTAATATAGAACCTTAGGCAAGATTGCTCCGCTAAGGTTATCCATGAGGCAATTCATTGGTTGTCTCATCTCATGACTAGCATGAGTGATATTTTTAGTGCATATGCCAATTACATCCTTCATTGATCATCATTTTACTGGGTGAAGCCATCTTAACAAGCACCTAAAATTTAAAAATTGGCAATAGCTAGCAACCTCACTTGCTCTCTTGTTGGCTCCAAATTTTCCATTCTTTACATGACAATTTCATGTGATTCTAATTTCTATAACATTTCTTTAGTTTTTTTAATCCCTTCTGCTCACCCTCTCAAAATTCCTCTTGCATGTCTCAATAAGGGTCTTTGTGGCTGAAAGTCCCTCTCCTTTTTTCTGAAGACACTTTCCCCCCTGTTTTACATTTATTTCTCCATGAAACTGCTCACAGTTTCTCTGTTGACCAAATACTCACCAGAAACCATGTGGATTGTCTATAGGGAAGAGTCCACCACCCAGTCACAAACTTTTTGTTAAGTGTGAAAAATACCACAAACTTTGCTCTTGCTGCATTTTGCTTTTAGTGCTCCCCTTCCCAATCGGATGAAGCATCAGATACTAGGTAACACAACTGATATACATTGCATTCAGCAGTGAATTTTCAATGCCAACATTAGCATCTCAGATCATCGGGTTATTACAATATCATCTCCAATGCAGAAAATAAAAATAATTAGATGGGAGTATGAGGATTGCCATGAATGTAAATACTGTAATATGCCAGACTCTATCTCGCAGTCATGACATGGTAATATGAGGATTCTCTCTCCAGGAATGATATGCAAACCCTCAAGTTCATTAGATGATTTATGGAGTCATAAATTTAATTTAAAATAATCCACCCATTATGTGGCTTCTAGTTTCACTCACCAGCTGTATCATCCACAAGGAGAATATCTTTCATGCGTTTTGTGTTGACAATGATCTCATCAAAGATGGGGATGGAGCCACCAACCATGCTTGTGTTCCCACCCTGAGGTACCACAGCAAGGTTGCGGTGATAGCAATGCTTCAAGATATTAGACAGCTCCTCTGATGTTTCTGGGAAGAGGAGCAGTGGACTTTCCCCTATAATGATGAAAAAAATCATGATGGTTTCAAATGATGACATGAAAACCAAGTTGAAAACCAAGTTCAATGCAAAATTTTACAAACTAAAAGTCTCCAGGAATACCATTTTGACAGAGCAAATAATTTTATTTGTTTGGATGTTGCAGCCATATGAGGTCAATATGCTATGCCTATGTTGTTAGGTGGCATGTACTACTTGAGAACTTATGTAAGACTGATCTAGAGACTGTCCCATTCATAAATTTTAACGAAAATAGCCAATGTAATGGACGTACAGATTATGATTCGAATTTTATCATATTTACACTATATTTTAGCAATCACTTTTCTGTTATTTCAGGTTCATCTTAAGCTACAGAGCCATTATATTCCAGTTAACAAAACCCTCCTTCATACTGGCACTATTACAACAAAAATTCTGTAAAAAAAATAGCATTAAAATTATGTTGCAGGCATAGTTACATTTAATCAACCCTGGCTGCAACTTACCTCGAAGAGCTTTGAGCCAATCACAACTGTATGTTTCTAGGGTACTCTCATCTGTGATCACTCTTTCAGTGTCATTCCGTAAAATGGAATGAAATTTCTGGATGTCATCATCTGTCAGCCTTGCAAATTCCTTCCTTCTCACCTCAGGATATCTATAGCAATCAGAAAAAGGCAATTGACATTAAGATTTTCATTCCTCAATCCTCTCCTTTCTAACTTGACTCACACAAAGCATGAAATGCTGACCATTAAATACCAATGCCTCAAAAGTATGTCATACCATACAATTGATGAAAGGAAATGCCAAGCACAAAAAAGATGAAGGCCCAGTTGAAAACCTATACACCATCAGATTAATCTAGGCCTATATCATGACAATATTGAGGATAATCTAATGAAGGTTCTTTGTTCATGTAACTTGAACTAATTATTAGCACTAACAATATACATGTCACTCTTGATGGGGAATTTTTTCTGGGAGTAAACAAATTAGGGATTCAAGAATGTCATTTCTAAAGTCTTACTACATATTCTTCATACCTCCTCATGGTGGGAGTGGCTAACAGGCCCCTTGAAGGCCTCTTGATACATGAGCCTTGGAGCAGATTGTCCCAAATGCCATGCCCCCCCCCCCCTCCCTCCCTCTGGGTGGGCCTGGTGACTAATACCTTCCAGGGAAAGGGGAAATAATAAAGGGTGGATGCATAGTAGTAACTTGCTCATTTTCAGAGTGCTTGCAAACTCTGAGATTATTTATTGTTCACCCTTTTTCTATGTGCTGATGCCAAAATTACAAAACCTTTCTTACACATTCATTTCTCTTAGCTAGATCATACATCTGTAGATCTTCATCACAATTTCCTTTAAATAAAACAAACCTCACCAAAGACAACAAATCATCACCTCAGTTGAACAAGGTTCTATCAAACTTTTTAGAAAATGCATATTGGTCCTATTCTAAAGCAATCATATCCATAAAAGGCCCTTCCATGCTATGTGTTACCCTTGTATTGAATATTATTAATGTAGGACCACCCCTAAGTGGAAATGGTGAAAGGTTAAAATTAAATCTTGAGCATGTGCTGAACTTTGAAGTTATTTATTTTCATTTTGCCTGACATCCATTTAGAACCTCAATGAACTGATGTGACAAAATGTCTGAAGATGAAAGAGAGAGAAAGAAAAGTCTAATCTCGTTACCGGTCCCTGATGAGAGGGACATGGTAGGCAGGAATGCTGGCAAGGATGGAATGAAGATGCCTTCTGATGGGCTTAATCGCAGATCTCTTTTGCCTTCGCAAACCATGACCTAAACCCAATCCAGCCAAGAGCCCAGCCTCATGACCTGAGAACTTGGATGATATCAGTCCTGCTTTCTGGCCAACATGCCATAATCTCGCAGGCATCTGCAGGAATATGGAAAAATTTCATTAGGACAACATAATAATATTGGAACAATAGCAGTAGCTGTTATTTCAAATGGATCTATCAGCCACAACCCAGTAGCTACACCAATGCTTGATGCACAGGCTTGAAATGAAATTGATAACATGGAACTTCTCGTATTCTTTCCCTCAGTGAGCTGCAATGGCTCCAGGTGCAAAACATGGAATACTGGGCATAGATAAGCTGGGTTCACACTCTAATGGTCAAGGATTACACCTTTCATGCAGTAGTATTTTCTTCCTTTATTTTATAGGAATTTTTAGAGAAATGGAAAGAGGTTGCAGCCCCAAGCCATGTAAAACACCCATTATAATATTTTTTTGATTGAATTTGTAATGCTCTGGAAAGTGGAGAATGAAGGCACCAATTCCAGGAGATCCACTTCATCAGATGATCCAAAAAACTACCCGAGTGAAAAATGCCACCACCTGCAATTGATGGAAGCACTTCTGTGGGGGAAGAAGGGGGGGAATAGTACAAATACAATCCAAAAAACAGTGTAGGCTTAATACTACTTTGACATGATGTATTAGAGATAATGCTACTGAGAACAGTCTGAGATTCAGTTTCCATGTTTAACCATATCTTAAGACTCATATTGTGGACATGCATAGACCTGGAACGAAGCAGCAAGTCATAGGTCAAGGTGCTGAAGACACAGTGATTTCCCATTGATTGCAACCCCCTACCCCCTTTGAAAGGTACCACATGTCCCAACTTGAGCAAAATCTAACTTCCCCAAAAAAAAGACACAGGTCAAACCAGAGACTGGGGTAAAACTAAAGCACTCCCTGCCTCCACCACAGTGGGGGCTGCAATCAGTTGAAAATCGCTGAAGACAAAGCGTGCTAAGCTGCACAAAATGCTGTCATTGCCTTTAGGCCTAACTGTGCTACGGTTCTCCAAAATAGCCTACTTTTCTCATCCCTTCATAAAAATGGCAAAAGAGGGAGACTGGGATTTAAAATTAAATAAATAAAAATTCTAGGCCAATTCTTAATGAGCTGTTATGTAGAGCAAAATTCGGCGAAGCTGAGGGGAATCGGAAGCATAACTCCATCTGACTGTGTTACGGCCAAAAAATGTTGACCTGACGGTTACGTCAGGCCAACACATTGGTCACAAGTCTGAAGAAACGTGTTGGGCCTCTTCAAGCAAATAGGCCACACTCTTCAGCTCATTCTTGACATTGTTAGCCCTCCTACAGAGTTTTTCACTTGATTTCGGCACTCGTCCCCGAGGAGCGACCCATGCACAAGTGTCCCAAGTCCGGCGAAACGTTGCCTTACTCGACTGAATAACACTGCTGTTTTGCAAATGAATTCGTCCCGTCCTCAAAATGGGCTTCACGAGCCCGAACGTCCCATCAACCTCGGAAGAAATCCCCTCATCTCCCGAGACTGACAACAGCACTGCCCAACGTAAAGAGTCGGTACGAACTCATCCGCAAAAACGCCGTCGGAGGAATCCCCAGCGCGAAGGAACCCACGTGAGGAGGTCGGTGCAAGCCGCCATGCCTCGACCCTCGTTCGGCCGGCTGCTCCAGTTTGCCGATCGCCTTCGTCGAGGCAGCAGCTTATGCTTAGTGCCGGTGAAGTCACTCTTCGTGAACAATGGTTTTATTTTTTCAATTTGAAGTAACCTTTTTTTTTATTGAGTGCCGGTTGGGTGTTTGGACCGGTCGCGGTGTGGGTCAACTCCAGAATTTCACAGAAATTCATTTCTTTTTTTCAAATACTAAATGTAAAGTGAAGAAAGTCCGCTGCCAACTGGCTGCAAATTATGAAGTTTATTACATGCATACTTTCTCTTTCGTTATTGACCCTTATCCTACGTTCTATTCCGGAAAGAAATTTCGATTGGAGCCCGTTCGAAGATTGATCAAATACTTGAGTCCACGGGGCCTAATGATAACCCTGAAAAGGTGAGTGTGAAATTTCTCTCTTTCTTCATGAGGTCCTTTGAACCAAGGACATTTTTTTTTTCAAAAACTTTTGTTAGAGCGATGGGAAGAAATCCGCTACAACCCATATTTAAACATGAGAGGCCCAGTCGAAAAGTCCCAATAAGAAATAAAAATCTCTTAATGGAGCTTAATTGGGGGTTCTATCAAATAGTCCTTCACCCTTTATGCGATGCCAAAGGCTATCTACGGACAATGATGCCCCGTCACCGCGGCGACCCGCCTCGTTCACCCTTCGCCGAGGATTTAAACGCACAACCAACTTCTCCTTGCAAGGCAGTGGATTGCGCCTAATTGCGTCGCGCCTAACACGCCATACGCGTGAACGACATTGAAAGCATTAAGTGAGAATGCCCATCCCTAACATACATAGACTGCATCCTCTCGCCAGGCTCCCTTCGTTCCTGAAAGTCTGACCTGAAGGGTCTCGACGCTGAGGAGGTTCGAGCCGCCGCGACGGCAGCAATGGAGGTTCAATGAGTGGCCGGCGACCCTGCATCCTCCCGCGGTCACCGCGGGAGAATGCGAGCGACTGCCCTTGGGAACTACTTTGAAGGAGGTCAAACCCTTTTACCTCACTCTTTGCATGTATTTTCAGCAAAAAAAATCGTATCGGAACGTTTTCACTCGCCCTACTACCGCAAAACCGTCAATCATATCACTATTGGCATGGGCATGACAAAACAAAAATGATGATACAATAAAATACAGTCTGGAGAAGAAAAAAAATCCATGTATTTACATGCCCATTAGTAATTTCCGTCGAGGACCCTCAATCATACAAATCCTGAGCTCAAAAACAGCCGAACAAAGCGCCAAGAAAAGAACTCATTAAGAATCCGCTCTCTCGCGAAGAACGATCTCGTATTCCTGCGGCAGATAAGTGAGCGCGTGCTTCCCGATCAGGTTGGGGCTCGGCCTCCCCGCTGGATATTCGATGCGGAAGTGCTTCACGATGTTCGTGATGAAGAGGAACAGTTCCATTCGGGCCAGACCCTCTCCGAGGCAGCTTCTCCTACCTAATGATACATGGAAAAACATACATGATTTTTTTTTTTTTAGGGATGGCATGATGTACGACTTGACTTGGTTTTATCTAAGATGCTTCACTAGGTATCATGGCTCTGTATCTCATTGTGTATCCTGTTCATTGTATAAATTCATTTCTTGGATTTTTTTTTTGTTTCAGCTGACAATATTTTGCTTTTATCTTTCCGTTATGAAGGGGAAGTTTGACGAGAGTCTCTGTTCCAGTTCCCCCTTTTTTTTATTTTTTTTTTTAAATTTCAACTTTTTATATTTTTAACTCTCCTCTGTTTCGCCGATTGCGTCCGACAGCGATCTCTATCTTCTTCATAACTTTCCCGGGGATTTCGAGATCAATTTACCGCATTAAAAAAAAAAAACCAGCCTAAAATGTTCTTCAGGAAGAAATTATTCACGCGATTCGCGTAATGAAGAACAGAATTTTCGGGGCCATTTTCCTGCAACTCGTCAAGTACTTTCACCTGTAAAATTATAAATAAAAACACACATCCCGACACCGCCAAAAAAAAAGGGCCAAATAAAAAGTTCCACGCTTTTCAATCTGCTGTCACACTTGTGCTAATTAAATTAGGTGCTTGGAATGTATGGCATTGTTTTAAATGGCTAAACTACAATTAAACTCTCTTTTTTGTTAAAATATGTTCAGAACTTTTTGCGCGGTGACGATTTTACTGCGAGAGGTGAAAAATCGCCGCTGCACAAACCGGGGAGATTACGTGGCGGCTAGCTTTTTCGCATGTCCAGCTTTCCTGACATGGTTTTTGTTACCTTCTTACGCCATGTCCTTGTCGTAGTATTCTACGCGTCGTGGAATTGTGATGCTGTTGTACATCGTAGCGTCAGAATCGATCCTGCGCAGAATACGACGATAAGAACTGGGATGAAATGAAATATTAAGTGTCAGGGGAAAAAAAATCGTTGGAACAGTGCCGAAACTGCATCCGCCTCAGGCGCGGAAAAGGTTTATTCCGACAACCTAGGTACATGAAACTTTCAGAAAACAACTTTTGTCGTGTTTCCAACCCGACACGAAAACATCACAAACAGCGGGTTTTATAAAGCATCTAACAGGACGTGTTTTTTTTTTGCGCCACCCGATATATACACTACAGGGCGTTCGTAAATTTACTTCTCTATTTCGAAAGGCCCAATCTCCATTACGGAGCAGCATAGAAACTTCATATTCGGCCCAGATCATGTACAGCCAATGGGATTTTTGATAGCCAAGTTTCCCAAGGTTTCCAAAAAGTTTCTGGATGTCATCACCAGAGACACACTTTGGGAGACGCGTCCAGTCTCTTCTCCAAATTACGTTCCAGGGCCGTGTGATCAGCAGGGCTTTCCCACAGGCCTGGCCGCCAAGGTCGCCGGATTTACACTTGCGGACTTCTGGCTGTAGGGTTTACAGTGGTCGTCCTGAGAACTCAGTGGAGCTCTAGGAATGCATAGCGGTGCCATGCTGCGCCAGATTCTGACACTGTCGTCTGACTACGTTCTGTCGTCTACCACCTCATTACATGGATGGAGGCGGTGGAAGTGGCAGGAGGTGACCATATCCGTTACCTGTAGGTTTGATCGTGCCATCCACGTGGATATTGGTATATATGCCGAATTTGGACAGTGTGTTTTTGGCCGGTACAGTGCCGGTGATGATATCCAGAAACTTTTTGGAAACCTTTGGAAACTTGGTTATGTATGTATGTGTGGATATAAAATTATAAAAAGGATAATAACTTCCGAAAGTCCCTAATGCAACTTTTTGACCGAAATTTTTCTAGTATTCCAGTGCGAAGTATGATGTAAATTTTTTAAAAATTATATTGGGTTCCCGAGAAAGTTTTCTGCTGTGGGAAAGAGTCGAGCGACAGAACTGCCCAACTCGATAGGTGACAACATTCGCTCTTGTGAACATGAATGGAAAGAATTTCTTTTTGTAATCCCTCATAATTTTTTTAAATGCAATTATTCTATAGTCGCCTTCTCTATAATAACTCAAGAACAATTTACTGTCATTCACGAGAAAGCAAAAGTATCCCCATACCGACGCCGAATCCGATGACTTTGTCCGTGTTGACGAGTTTCCGCTGCGGATCCAGGAATCGGGAGGGGTCGAACCGATCCGGCTCCGCGAACACGGCCTCGTCGCGGTGGATCGCCCAGATGTTCCCCACGACCATCGTCTCCTTCGGGATGCGGTATCCCTTGAGCGTCGTCGCCTCGGGCGTACCGTGCATCAGGACCGGCACGATGCAGACCCAGCGGAGGAGCTCGGCGATCGTCGCCTCAGTGTAGGGCATCTTCGTTCGGTCCCCGTAACTGTCGGAGCCGAATTTCACTTGAAGGAACTCGTCTCTGAGAGGATAGTCGCTAGCAACGTTTCTCAAATTTATTCGTGCTTCTGGGTCAAAAATTGCTCAAACTTTGATTTCGAGCACATTTTGAGTTTTTCCCGCTCGATCTTAAAGGATCTGCGATCCAGATGCTCTTCATATTTAGCTCTCGTTCCCAGTTTTAAAAGAAGTGGCTCTCCAAATTCAATCTTCGGGGTTCCAGCAGTATTAGGAACTTCTTTAACCATCCGATTATTTCCTCAGAAATTTCACCAACTGATTCCTTTCGGCAGCTATTTCTTGCATGGAGAAAACAGAAACGCCTTAGATCGTTACCTGAGGTGCCCACCCGAGCAGACAGCCTGGATCTCCTCGAAGATCTCATCCTGGATGTGAGGATTGATGGCCAGAAGGAGCATGCACCACCGCATCCCCGTCGTCGTCGTCTCCATCCCCGCCGCGAACAGATCCCCGATCACCGACCAGATCTGGTCGTCTGCTCTCCCCCGACAGGAATCGCAAAGGTGAGCGTTAGCCGGCTCAGACGAATGTAATTGGCAAGAAGAATAAATACGAGCTTTGATCGATGTTATCCACTCAATAATATCCGCATGAAAACGGCTTAGAATTAATGGATTCATGTCTGGACTGCTCGGTTTGGGTTCAGAGGATTTACTTAGCGTCACAAAAAAAATAAGCAGACCTGTGAATGTGGTAGGAATGCCTTCCTTCTCGTGCTTGGCCTGTTGCTGGAGATAGGAATAGATGATGTCCTCGTCTTTGTCTGCCTCTTCTACCTTCACCTTGTGCGACTGCAGCGTTTCCTGGAAGAATTTTCGGAGGGCGAGGACTCTCTGCCAGGCTTGTCTCATGTGGCTCAAGAGGGGCATCCACATCAATCTGTCGGAGGAAATTTCATCCGTGAGTTGCATCGTAGAATCCCTTCACACGGAGGGAAGCATAGGTTAGATTAGGAATACATCTCTCCGAAGAAGAACCTGAGCGATTGTGGCAAGGAAAGAATAAGGCGTTCGCCCGGACAGATCCCTCGCCCCAAGGCAATCTGGCCCTACTTGGAAACCGTATCACAAACCCTATGACCCAGTCTTCTTCCCCTTCTTGCCAGGACCCGAATTCAGCTCTGCCTCGAGTGGGGCTCAGGATTCCACCACTTTTCTCATTATCCCATAGCTCAGGATTCTTTTTCTTTTTTTTGTTGAAATGGTATAATTGTGTATTCATAACCTATCATGACCTAAGAGAAGGAAGGGACAAGGAGGAAGCCGAACTGGAGAATGGGGAAGTAGTTGAGTGCTCCAGTGAGATTTATGAACTCCATGTTGGCCTCGAGAGCGCTCGCGAGCCAGTCGAGCTTCTGATCCCCTTGTTGGAAGCGATCTCCGCACGTCACGCTCCAGACGATGTTGCAGATGGCTCGACCCAGCTCCTTGTGGGGATCGAAAGGCTTCCCGGCCATCGACTGCACAGGAAATGGGCGTAAAAATTCAACTTTGTCCACCGTGCGAGTTCCCATACAGTGTTATTCCGATACTTTGATCAAAGAGCAAGGGAAGCAGCGGGGCAATTCTCGCAGGTTCGAATATGTCAGAAGTTTTCAACTGTGAATCCCATTTTAGTCCACTTTCCTCATCTTATTTATTGTTCCCACCTCCCTGCTATCATAATTTGCAGCATCACGATCGGACAGACTCCTTTTACTCATCCCACTCCTGAAACCCTAACTTTCCCCCCCCCCCCAAGACTCGACTGCCCCCTCCCCCCACGGCCAATCGCGATGTCGCAAAGGCACCTTGAAGGTTTCCAGGAGCTCCTCCGCCTCCATCTGGATCTTCTCCTCGAACGTCTTCTTCCCCATCCCCTGGTCCCTCATCTTCTGGAGGAGGAACCGCCGGTGCTCCTTCCACAGCTCGCCCTCGCTTCCCACGACGCCTGCAACGGATCCCTAAGTTATTTCATTGCTGCAAGTTGGGAGCTATTCCGAAGGTAATATTGATGCGCTTCCGACATTTTCCACTCTCATCTCAGAGAAGAAGCATATTAAGGCACGTATTCGTCGGGTGAGGCCTGGAAGTTACCATGTGAAAGGAGCGTATATCCTAGACACGACGCGTTCTATTCCCAGTGTGCCGTGCTTCCAAGAATGAATGAGAGTAAATGAATTGCTCTGACTCATGGAACGAAGTAATTGCAGAGGTATTTTCAAAAAGCAAGGTGTGCAAACTAATCATTTCACAGTGATGCTGGAAACTGTATGACGTTTGGATCAGTTTCACTTTGGAAAGAACTGTGGAAATCTCCACGGATTTTCGTTCACCACTACTTCACCGAACGCAAACCCCACGCTCGAGCTTTAGTCTGAACGTCAAAAACTTCAGTTAACGGTTCTTCAAGATTACACGGAATGCTATTGTGGGAGAAGTGCTCCTCGGCTAAAAGGCCATCCCAAATGAAGTTCGTGCGTTCGGTCTGAAATGCCCACCTTTGTTCTGGAGGACTTTTGACACGAGAGGCCCCTTCGGTCGGTGGCTGAACATATCGCCCTGCCGCGCATACGCTTGCGTTATGGAGTCCAAGTCGTTCAGCACCACGATCCGGTATGAGCCCATCTGGATGCTGAAGATCTTTCCGTACTTCTTCGACAGCTCGTGGAAAACTCTGCCGGGATGGGAACATATACGACCCTTTTATGAAAAAATTCAAAATCTAGAAGAATCTAAAGTTTTTCACTGCAAAATTTTGTAATGCATTTCATGAACTATTCATGCGCGGTTCACTTTTCTTTCTTTCTTCATTTGCTCGGTGGCTGCAGACAAAAAAAAAGTAATTTCTTCAGGAAAGTGTCGATAATTCTCGGAGACGAAATTATTCCAGAAATGGATTGGCGATTGCGTCCACCAAAAAATGCAACCGGACTTCGTTGCACATAATCTTACCTGATCAATACAGAGAGGAAGAATTCTAAATCTATAAGTATAATGTGGATGAAGGCACCTGACGCTTTGCTCAAAACAAGCTTAAAAAAAAAGCTTAAATCGTTTAAGACGAGAGAAACCGACTTGTAAGGATGCTTGTTGATGATGAGATGCACGCTGCCGACAAGAGGCCAGCCGGTCGGGCCCGGGGGAAGGCCGTCTCTACTGGGGTGGTTCATCCAGGTATAGAGGGCGAGGAGCAGCAACGCTCCCAGCAACAGGGTCCACAACTCCATGCTTTTCTACCTAAATGTCAGCCTTATGCTGAAATAGGGATATTTCTGAAGGAAAATTACGAATAGTAAATATGATGCAAAGAATAAAGATTAGTGGGATTTTATTATCTTAGGTCGACATATCATCTGTTGAATCAGAAAGTTACTTGCTCTTAAGATTCTAAAAAAAAAAATTTAATCGACGAATGGTATAGCTTGGCGGTCGGAGTCAAAGGGAATGATTTCATGACAGCGAATGGCTGAGTTCTGGGGGAAATATGCATAATACATCAGCTTCCACGACGATCGAACGCGGGAACAAGTTGGCGAAATCGCCGTTTGAATTTTTGCCTGGGTATGATTCCGCAGTTCCACAACTATAACGTGCTCGAAGGCAAATGAAAGGAATTGGCCTTTTGGGGGATTCCCAAGTTTTCTCCTGTTTTGAACAAGACTCCCCTCACCCCCATCTGGAGTGTTTTTGGCAAGCTTCATCCGTGAATTCTTCGCCCTTGAGAATCTATTCAACTTCATAAGACGCTGCTACGAACTCGTACGAAATTAATCAATATCGCTCGACTCTTTATTTCTGAAACCAGATGCTTCCTCTGGTGACAATCTCTTAACATTCTCTTATCTTCGCGGTGTGATAGCCCAGCAGCAGACCACTAGTCTCCACGCCTAGTCGGCATTCCTCAAACCTGTCTTCCACAGGTAGCGCCGTTGTTTTTTTCCTGTTGCCAGTGGATGGAATGGCATTCCATCCATTGGATTCACGGTTTTTCGCGAAAGGGATACACCCTATGAGGAACGATTCCCTTCCGCTCGCTCAAGCGGAGGGACTGAATTAGGTAGCTGAAACTAGAAAATATTCCAGGGTATGATTAAAGTGATCAAAATGATCAAATGATTAAAATGATTAAAGCATGACTTCCATTGAGTCAGCCATTTGGATTGTAAAGATTTGCCTGAATCATCAAACTGGAAAAACCTACCACACTCGACATGCTGCTCCAGTCTGCCAGTCTGCTCGCTGCTCCAGTCTGCCGAACGCCTTCGTCGAGGCAGCAGCTTCGTGCCGGTGAAGTCACTCTTCGTGAATAATGGTTTTATTTTTTCAATTTGAAGTAACCCTTTTTTTTTTATTGAGTGCCGGTTGGGTGTTTGGACCGGTCGCGGTGTGGGTCAACTCCAGAATTTCACAGAAATTCATTTCTTTTTTTCAAATACCAAATGTGAAGTGAAGAAAGTCCGCTGCCAACTGGCTGCAAATTATGAAGTTTATTTATTTATTTATTTCATGCATACTTTCTCTTTCGTCATTGACCCTTATCCTACGTTCTATTCCGGAAAGAAATTTCGATTGGAGCCCGTTCGAAGATTGATCAAATACTTGAGTCCACGGGGCCTAATGATAACCCTGAAAAGGTGAGTGTGAAACTTCTCTCTTTCTTCATGAGGTCCTTTGAACCAAGGACTTTTTTTTTTTTCAAAAACTTTTGTTAGAGCGATGGGAAGAAATCCGCTTCAACCCATATTTAAACATGAGAGGCCCAGTCGAAAAGTCCCAATAAGAAATAAAAATCTCTTAATGGAGCTTAATTGGGGGTTCTATCAAATAGTCCTTCACCCTTTATGCGATGCCAAAGGCTATCTACGGACAATGATGCGGCGACCCGCCTCGTTCACCCTTCGCCGAGGATTTAAACGCACAACGAACCTCTCCTTGCCAGGCAGTGGATTGCGCCTAACACGCCATACGCGTGAACGACATTGAAAGCATTAAGCGAGAATGCCCATCCCCAACATACATAGACTGCATCCTCTCGCCAGGCTCCCTTCGTTCCTGAAAGTCTGACCTGAAGGGTCCCTGACCTGACCTGACCTGACCTGAAGGGTCCCCGTCTCGGCGCTGAGGAGGCTCGAGCCGCCGCGACGGCAGCAATGGAGGTTCAATGAGTGGCCGGCGACCCTGCATCCTCCCGCGGTCACCGCGGGAGAATGCGAGCGACTGCCCTTGGGAACTACTTTGAAGGAGATCAAACCCTTTTACCTCACTCTTTGCATGTATTTTCAACAAAAAAAATCGTATCGGAACGTTTTCGCTCGCCCTAGTACCGCAAAACCGTCAATCATACCACTATTGGCATGGGCATGACAAAACAAAAATGATGATACAATAAAATACAGTCTGGAGAAGAAAAAAAATCCATGTATTTACATGCCCATTAGCAATTTCCGTCGAGGACCCTCAATCACACAAATCCTGAGCTCAAAAACAGCCGAACAAAGCGCCAAGAAAAGAACTCATTAAGAATCCGCTCTCTCGCGAAGAACGATCTCGTATTCCTGCGGCAGATAAGTGAGCGCGTGCTTCCCGATCAGG